AAAAAAAAAAAAAAAAAAAAACCAAGCCAAAGTAAACAAATGTAAATAAACAAAAAACAAAGTGATATTGAAACTCCCAAGACTGGTGCTAGGATGAATATGACAGCAAGTGAATGGGTATCTAACTTTATTCATTGGTAAATTTGTTTGATTACTGTTTTCTGTCAAAAATTTATTGCAGATTTCTGTAATAATTTTTTGACTTTAATAGTCGTCTGACAAATTTATCCGTGAGTACAGATGTTTTCAATTGTCACTTTATTAAATTATTCACTCGTTATCATATTCACCCTACTTTTATTTTTTAATATCTTTATTTGTAAGTTTTTTTTTTCTTTTTCTAAAAAATAACGTACGTTGTGAATAAAAGAATCAAAGACCATCATTGATTCATGTAACAAGAAAATAAAAATAAATTAATTTATTTTTTTTTAATTACTGAGTAATTATTTCAAATAACCACCCATCCCTCCTATTTCATAGTTTAATAAAAAATGATCATTAATTTAGCAGTAATTTTTAATTTTATTATTATAAGTTATTAATAAAAATATTCAACGGTAAGTATGAAATTTTTTATTTATAACATTAAACATTTTAAACTTCATTTCTATTAATAAATATATCAATGACAGTTAAATTTACTCTTATAAGTAATTTATAAATATTTTTTTCATTAAAAAAATTACACTTTCAAATGTTGACTAATATTAAATATGTATTTAAAAAAAACATTTATTTTCATTATCTTATTGTTGCTAATTTTTTTAATTAACAACAATCCAAAAAATATTACTGTTCTTCACAAAATTTAGTATTTATTAAAAAAAAAAAAAAAAAACTAATTTTTAAAAAAGTTCTTCAATATTGCTTGAGTTAACTTACTCTTACAAAAGTTATTTTAGATCAAGGATTAAAAAATTCTGGGGTTTTTTAATTTTCTTTAACTAAAAATGATCGTCTGCTATTTTCACTGACAACAATTATTTACAACTCGTTAAAAATATTTGGTTCCAGACATTGAAAGTCTTCCAGATTATTTATCGGAATCTTTTTTTAATTATTGACCATTATTTTCTTTATTTAAAATGGTAAAATTCGTTCTAGTAATTGGAATCGTCAAAGTTTTAAAAATTTCAATTACATTAATTAATATATTATAATCATAACTATATTTATTAGAGTATTAATTATTATATTAATATTAATTTCAATTATACTAAAAGATATTAATTTTTACAAAGATTCACAATCTTTAATGATACTGTAATTAACTGATATTTAACAATGCCTTGACTTTTAACACCAATTTAATTACGAAAAAGAATTAAGTAAATAATTCCACATGTAGAATTAAAAAAATATAAGTACACATTTTTAATAATTGATTTGCTAAAAAAATCATCTATCAATAACATTATTGTTTTTAGTATTTTTTATTTCAAAATGCTAAAAGTAAAATTAAATATAAACGTCACCGATCTCTTTAGAAATATTTTTTTCTTCCATCAGTGACATAATCAATGGGCTCGTTCAAGTTTACTCAGTTTTTAGCTCGACTTATCTTAGATTAAAATACTTTACATTGTTTTCTTAAAGATATTTTTTAGAGAGAATGGAGTCACTAGTTTTTGGTACAAGATCTATCAAGAGCTTAGTAAATCTAAGCGAGCCCAATAAAAATAAATCAATTATAATAAGAATAAAATAAGCGACAATGGAATTATAAACCTCAAGTGATATTACAGATAGCAAAATATATTTAAAAAATAAATAAGTTTCTTTAAATTTTTCATGATACAGAAGTTAGCCGACGTTCTTAATTTTTTAATTTTTTTTTTTAATACTTTAATTAGTACTAAAAATATTTTTAAAAAATTACACGTATAGTTTTTCCATTTTACAGATGAAATTTTTTTGTAATAATTTAAAAAAAAATTATCAAAATTTTTAGATGTCGGTTAACTTAATTTTTATAAATTTTTCTTCAAAAACTACTTTTGTATTTCTTCTCAATTTTAAAATAAATAAATTTAAAAAAGTTTTGTTTAATTTAATTAATATTTACTGAATTTTTAAATAAATTTATTATAATTCCCAGAAACTAGTGTTTGCATTTCAGAGTGTAGGAGTTGAGTATTCCTTCTTATTTCTTCTTCATGATCCATAATCTGTTTCAGTCTACACTTCTGTAATAAAAAATAATATTGTTAATTATTTTTATATAAAAAAAAAATACATACCTTCATCAATTTTTTTATATATAATACAAATTTAGATCAAAGTGTGATCCATTGATATCATAAACATCACTCGTACTTTCCGCCATTCTTTACTTATATTGTTGTCTTCCTCAATTATTATTAATTATTGAAAGTCATTTGTTCATGAAAATTAAGTTAGCCGACATTTAAAAATTTTTATAATTTTTTTTTTATTGAAAAAATCATTACAAAAAAATAAAAAAAAAATTGCATGTCTAAAAAACTTCAAAAACTATAAGTGCAATTTTTAAAAAATATTTTTTTTGTTCTAATTTAATTATTAAAAAAAATCAAAAAATTAAAATCGTCGGCTGACTTTATTATTATCATTTGTTCTAATTAAAAAATAATATACTAAAATATTGTGACAGTTTACAAGTCATCACTCCAATTCAGTGTTGCCGATGGCTTAAGTTAGAATTACCCACTCCACTAAGTCCAATTACCCGTTTTTACTCGGCACTGAAAGTTAGTGTTGCCATCTACTAAAAGCGCGGTAAATTTAAAATTAAATATTAAATCTTAGAGGATTCAAAATAAAAAGTACACAATAATAATTATTAATAAAATTTATTGAATTATTTCGTTTTTTTAAACTTTCAAAACATAATATTGTTAAGTATTTGTTAAATATATAAACCATATAAATTAAAAAATAAACATTAGACGATGTACTTAGTAATGATAATCGTTATCATAACAATATTAATTCAGATTTTTTATTATTTATCGTTATTTTTCCCAAACATTTGTGTCAATCATTTCGTTTGTTGGCTCAAAATTAATAATTTCGCTATCCTTAGATAAATAATTTTTAGTTACTGATACAGATTTTAAGGTTTCCGTGGATAAATTGTTTCTATTAGTCAATTGATTTTGTGAATCATTCATTATGTTTCGGTAAGGCTCAAGTTCAAGTTATGAGGGCAAGCGGGAAAATATGAGTTTGAATTATACATAAAAAATATTTATTCAATACTTTAACATAAAATGTAATTTAAGGAAATCCAAGTACCCTGCTAGTGTAAAGAATGTCTAAAAAAAAATAATGCGTAGAAATACTTTTGTTATGCATCTTAAAATTAATTTTCAAATTAATTAATAACATTTTTGAGGAAATTTCCAAAAAATTTACGCATTTAATTATTACTAACATTTAATAATTATTTAATTGACTAAAAAAAATATAGCACTCTGAATTACCGGTAAACACTTGACAACACCGTAACAGTTCCCTAACCTTGAAATTTATTTGTTTGTAAACATGTCTCAGATAAACCAGTAGCATAATTTGCGAGCGCATTTTGATTTTATAAAGAAATATATAATTTTATTTATGTAATCCTGTTAATTAAATTATATTCCTTACTCATCCATTAAATGATTTCCAACTTTTAATTGTAAGGGCCAGTTTTTCAATCCAAGATAAAATTTTATCCGAGATAAAAGTACTGCGAATATAATAATAAAAATAAATAATTCACCACAGTGATATTGCATACAAGTAGTTCTCCCTGAATCAGTCACATATTTTTAATTAAAATAAATAAACATTAGCTACATGTCACAGAAATATTATTCTCCAACTGTTCTGTTCACAGAAATATTGAAATATTAATCTCCAACTCTTCGAGCTCATATCTTGCGTTTGACATATCTATGATTAATCTATAATTATGTTAATTAATTTGAAATAATTTAAATCACAAATTGAAATACACAATGAGAGGTTATTATTATTTTTATGATATATTTATTTATTATTTAAATAAATGACCAAATTCATGGAGAACTAACTGAGAGCAATATCACGTCGCTAAATTATTTATTTATTTATTTTTTTCTTTTTTTTTCATTATATTGACAGTACTTTTATCTCGGATAAATACATACAAATATTATTTAGCTCTTCGAGCTCAAA